CTGCTCCCTTTTCTTCATCTAAACCAACCCCAGCTTTGTGGACATGGTGATGCCTCTACCTCGGGCACCAGCCCAGAGCTGGTATCCATAGAAGTCAGCAAACTTTTTCTTAGAGGATCCAGCAATAACTGTTTTAGGCTTTGAGTTCGACAGAGTGTCCATCAAACTGCTCGATTCTGGTGTCACTGAGTGGGCGCGGTGGCAAACAGGCCATTTGGGGATAATCACAGCTGGCTCTGAAAACCTCTGTGGGGGCTGACGAAACCCAAGCTAGTCTTGGGTTTCAGATGTACAGATACTGAACCTACTTGTCTTCTCACTGGCCTGTGTCTCGGAAAGGTCTGGACAGGCAGGGCCATCAGCCAGCTCTAGCCAAAGGGACAGAGGGGAAACCCACTTCCAGATAAAAGGAGTAAGCAGTGGGCCTGAGGAGAGGGCTGCTGACCTGTGCCGGAACTCTCCAATGAAGGTCTGATGCAGGTGGGAGAGGTCATCTTTCCGTGACAAAGGGAGAAGGGACCCAGATTGTCAGACCCTGCTCTTGTTAACACTGCCAGCTGCTGCATCCTGTTGTTTGTATAAGAAAAAATAAAGCTGTTTCAGCCCCTGTAACTGCTGCCGAGCACATAGCTCCTGGTGCCCTTCCCAACATCAGTCACCTGGGTTAGCTCTGCTGGAACAAAAGCTTTGCTGGGCAGATGCAATTGTTCGATGCTGTGGGAATGCAGCATCCATAGCCCTACAGCCAAGGTGTCCTCAGAGGGAATATAGCCTTATTCCTCTTCCAAAGGACGTGCTGGGCTGAGGTCAGAGGGACCTAGGATTGTGTATAGAACTTGCTTCTCTCACTATCAGTCACCTTGAAACCATCAGTCTGGGCGCTCAGCTATCAGCACAGAAAGCAGGCACTGAGGAGGAGCCTGAGCCAGTGTCAGGGCCAAGCTGGAGGGTCGAATCAAGTAGGCCCTTTCTCATTCAGATTAGCGGGGGGGGCGCCCCCCCCCCCCCGGTCATCCATCCCCTCCACCCCACCCCACTGCAGTGTGTGTATGTTTACTGTGTCCTGTTGTAGATGGGAAGCAAAACTTCTCATCCTCCATATCACTCCGATAAGCAACAGTTTTAGAAGACACTCAGAAAACACAGAATGAAAAGACCGGAGTTGTAGGGGTGCTTTGTTGCTCCTTTCCCTTCCAAACACATAGTACTCACACTGTCGGGAAAACAACCTCCCCTGGTGGTTCCCTAGAGACCAAGTTCCACAGGACAGGTTTCAACATGTTCTCTCCGGAATGTTCACAGGGAGCGGTAGCCTACTGGTCGACCAGTAGTTTCTAAGAAGCAGGTCCTGGTATAATCCTGTCCAGCTGTGTAGTGTTGAAGTGCTTGTTAGTCTCTTAATTAGCTTACTTATTTTTGACACTTCTGATGACACAGCCAAAAGCCACATCTTCCTTGAGTTTTACTTTACTTTCATGAGATTTCAGTTTCTTTGGTTGTTTTGTTTTGTTTTTTTGTGGATTTTCTTTGTTGTTGTTGTTGGTTTGTTGTTTTGAAATCCACATCTGATAGCCCAGGCAAGTCCACAGGTTCTATTACACATGCATGTTCTAGTTAAATGTGATTGAGGAAAATGCAACTTGGGAATGCTTAGTCTCTAGTTCGGGGTCATTCACTGATCATATGAAAGATTTTTAAGTCATGTAGAATTTGCCAGAAAAGCCATATCTCAGACTCCCCCAGCCCTAATGCTGCTTCAGAGAACACAGGCTGGATTTGAGGAAACAATGTTGTAAACCAGACTTCCCTGAGGATTAAACCACTGTGGTTATGCAGTTTGTTGATCATTGCCCCACCCCCGGCATGAGCTATTATGAAGTTCTTTCCTAGTCCTGAGTGATGGCGAAAAATATGTCTTTTACTGAATATATTTGGGGAATCACCTTATAATTTGGTAACCTAGTTAACTCTTACTTAAGCCAAGAAAAAAAGATTAGCAATTAATGATTAGCCATTAATTTGACAAGCAAAAACTCAAGGGAGTCTTCCTTGACATCCTGCACATGGCCATAGCTCCTTTACAAGAATACATTATTGTGTATTAATAGAACAAAATAAATGACAAGTTATTAACATGATAACTCTCATAACATGAGCAATACAATCTATCAGATGATCAAAATTATAAGCCCACTAAAAGTTGTGATTATTAGTCCGGGTCATTAGAATACAGTCTAGTACATAGTATAATAAATTGTATTTAAATAAATTTATATATAATAACATATAAAATGTTATAGCTAGTATATTTGAAAAATAAGAAAAACACTAAAAGGAGCAAAGCCATGGACAGGATGCAGACAAAGTGCAGTGCAGGGAAGAATTAGCTGGAGCCTAAAGCCAGACTTCAAAGAACATCTCTGGGAAATCAGCAGTGGTCAGCCCCAGGAAAAGCACCTCGAGCACAGGCCTTAATGCAGGGACAAAGCTGTCAGCCTGCCCCTGGGAACTGCAGAGTCCACATGCAGGAGGCCCCGCAAGAACTAGATAAGCCTGAACTGGTAACAAAATGTAATTCTGACCTAACGGCAGGGTTTCCAATACAATGTGACAAATCTAGAAGACATCATGACACAAAGGGTTTTGTTGTTGCTGCTTTGGGTTTCTTTGTTCCTTCTTTGTTCCTCAGGGAGACCGATTGGAAGGATCAGCAGAAACCAAGAGGCCTTATCAACGTGAGGCGGATCTCAGGTGACCCTCAGAAGCTACCCAACCTCACTGTTGGGAAATCCATTCGTTTTCTTAAAGACGAGTAAAGACAAACAGGGAGTTTGGAGTCAGCCAACCCATATCCTTGTACACCGACCATGAACAAGCTCCCTCGGGGCAACCCATATCCTACGTACACCAACTGCGGCCAAGCTCCTTCAGCCAACCCACATCCTATGTATACTGACCATGGACGAGCTCCCTCAGTGCTACCCAAACCTTTGCCTATACCAACCACAGTATCCACAAAGATACATTGTTTGAGTTTTCATAACATTTTAATCTCTAGCAAATGAAAATTCAGTACCTAGAGGGAGTCTCCCTTTAAAAAAAAAATGGCAGGAGCGGAAAGCACCTTATCAAAGAAAGCCGGAGCGAAGAGAGCAAGGGCAGCAGTGCGCATGCGCACTGACACCATGCTACTGCAGAGCCTTGAGCAACTCCAAGGCTTTACACGATCTCTTCCTGAGACTTCCTAATACCCTCCGACGCTAGGTACCGTATTATTGCTAAATTAAACAACTAGCATCAAGAAAGTGACAGAGGCAGGATCTGGCCAGTTCCTCGATTCCATACCTGCAGTCTGCACTAGAGACGTAATTAATGATGCATTTAATCTGTTCGGGGAAAGGAACATGAAGACTACAGGGGGTCTCCTGCATGCAGCTGACAGCTAAGTGGAGGCAAGGTCAGGGCACTCTTGTGGGAGACACCACTCGAAATATGTGCAAACGTTCAAGGCTGAGAGGATCAGGAATATGGTTCTCCCCTGATGTGCTTTTAGCCAGCACTGCGGTGCCATTGGTGACCTGGGACCCCACACACAATGCTTACGGAAGGCCAGAGAGCAAGGAGGGCAGAAACTGAGGCACGAAGGGCTTGTGTTGGGTTTACTTGAAACTCTATAATAAACAGATTAAAGAGGGTCAGGCAGCGAAGCAGAGGAAGCAGTCTAACTGCAACCCAAGCAGGTTGGCTGGAATCACACAGCCATGTGACCAGAACGCAAAATCTCCCCCCAGGGAGCAGACTGCAGTCACCCCGCTCATGCAGTCGGTCCCTGCAGCATGCGGTTGGACTCCATCATGCTTCACTGTCTCCTAGGGTCTTTAACATAGTGCGGAGTGTGAGAACCATCTCACCATTTAGAAACGCAGGCAGATCCTAGCCACCCAGACGCTTGGCTAAATCCCGATGTTGATCTCATGGGAACATTTTCCTTTTTACTTATTAAAGTCTCCGTCAAGGAGGTTTAGACCAGAGTGGTTCCATAAGCTTGAAAGATTTCTGGAGGATTAGACTTCCACACGGACCGCATTCTTCGTCCTATTATCTCTTGCTTCCTGGGGTCTGACCAAATGTGCCAGAAAGAACTTTGGGTTTTTGCTTTTTTTTTTTTTTTTTAAACAAAGCTTTTGGTGTGAGTCACTGCTGGACTTTGTCTACTTTTTTTTTTTTTTGAAGCCTTGTAAGAAAAGTAAGAAATGCCTGTTTACACTCAAAACTTCCTCCTCATCTGTCTACAGGCTCCATCAAAAATGAAATCGTGGCTTTCTTCCCGAATAAAGGGAGGGTGTACTACACAGACCATGATGTCATCTCCAGCATCTTTAATTCTTCCAAAGTAAATCTTAAAATGTTCAATAAACTGGACAGCATAGGGACTTTCCTCTGGCCCCCTAAACGCACATCTCTGCTCTGCCAAAACAAAGTATCTTTTTTTGCAGCTGAAAATGTTGGGCAACCCTGGGCCTCTGGGAGTTAAGTCTGGAGTTGGACCTACCTGTTCACATTTTTTTTTCACTTCAAGGACTAAAGGCTCCTTTGGCAGAAATCTTTTGAAGACCAATAAGATGGGTCTCTTTTTGTTTTCCTCTTAATTCTTTAATAACCTTGGGACTAGAAGGGCCAGTTAGGATGTCCAGGACAAGGGACTAGGAACACCCCCAGACTGGACTTCCAAACATTGCTACCCTGGAACACCTGACTCCCAAACCTTACACTGCAGGTTCGTGCAGCAGACTTTTTTGCAGTGTTGAAACTTGGCACCTCACACACGCTAGGCAGACGTTCAGGCTTACCACTGAACTGCATCCACAGCCCTAACTTTTCCGAAATCTTAGCTGTCCCTTCTGGCTGATGATGGAAGCGCCTATGCACAGTTTTGGATCTGCACCGGTTTAGATTAGAAAGACAGGGTAGTCTTAGGCCTGGGGACGTCCGGGATTTACCTTGACAAAGAGGGTGATGTCATGCTCCTGTCCCGGCTCCCCCACCTCGGACGCTGGGCCGTTCTGCCTGCGGCCATTCACTTGTTCCAATTCTTCTCCGCCCTGAGCGCTGGGCTCCTCAGCGAGGTGGTTGCTGAGCTCCGCCTGGGACTCGTCGTGCCGGGTGGATTCGGCCTTCTCCTCATCAGTGCTGCCGTCGGGGAGCTTCTCCTGGATGCCCTCCTCACAGCGTCCCTCCAACCCTGGTTCTGGCCTCGCTTCTTCCTCCCCGGTCTCCTCCTGGAGCCCGCCCTGCTTCCCATTCTCTCCAGCGTCTACCCTGGCTTCCTCTGGATCTGCTTCTTCCGACCCGTCTTTCCCCAGGACTCCCGCTTCCCCCGCGGCATCTGCGGTGGGAGTTCCCGCCAGCTCCCTGGGGCCGTGCTCTTCGACTTTTGCGGCTGCGACCTCAGTCGCCTCAGCCTGGGGCTCTGAGCTGCTTTCCCCTCCACCCTGGGGCTCACCCCCTGACTCCTGTGCCTCTCCTACTGGTGCATCTGTGTCCATGCTGTCCCCTGCAGGTCCCTGGGCTTCTGTATTGATCTGCGACCCTGGTGCACTGCCTCCCTGCTCTTCCAGACTGGACTCTACCTCCTTCCACGCCTCTGAGGTCGTAGGGTCCTCCGGTTGCTGGTGACCGGCCCCAGGGATTTCCCGGGCCTCGCCCTGCTCCCCTAGCCTAGGGCTTGGCTCTCGCACCTGCTGGGCGACCGGCTCCTCCTCCGCTCGCTGCAGGACCCCGGCACCCTCTGGGTCTCGCTCTGCAGCCTCAGCTTCACCCTGCGCTCCGCTCGCGCTCGGAGTCTCCGTCCAGGGGCCAGTCTGCGGGTCCTGCGCCTGCGCTCCCCCGATCCCTCCGTCCGGCCCACAGACTCCTGCTTCCTTCCCCGAGGCAGTCGCTTCGCCCGCTCCCTGCTCCCTGGGCGCCTCTGCAGTTCCCTTGCTCGCTTCCCGCCCCTCCAGGTCCGCAGTCCCAGGTTCTTCTAGACCCTCAATTCTCGCAGCTTCAGGTTGCTCCTGGGTACCAAGAGCGACCTCCTTGGGCTCCGTGGCCTCAGCCATGGTGAAACACCCTACCTCGACGCTTCTCAGGGATGAGTGGCAGGGGCTGCCAAGCCCCCTCCGAGAGGACACCCCACCCCCGGTTTTGAAGGCGAAGGTTTCGCTTGATGCGAAATCCAGCCGGCCCCAGGAGCTATGTCCCTTTCCCCTGACTTAAGATCTTTGGTCTCTTCCTCTAGCTTTCGTGCTTCTCCTAGATTCGCACCCAGACCCCAATCCTGATGCGCAGGCCAGGATGTAAGGCTAAAGAACGCAACTTGCCTCTTGAACCCTTAGAAGAAATGGACTGGTTCTCTGTTGTCTTGGAAGTTGAGCAGTAGTCCTCAGAGGCAACTCTCCCCTCCTAGGGCTTGGGCGGGGTTTGTCTTCCCCACCTCCCAGCCTGTTCGGGTGGCCTGGGAACCTAGCCAATGATAGCCTTTCCTGTGGCTTTTGTGGATTTTAATGAAAAGACTGAGTTTCCTGGCCACTTTGGCGTTTTCTGGAACAGCTTCAAGTTTCAGTGTCCTTTAAATCACAATCACATACGTCAGCACCTGATTCTCACCTTACCTATCCTTACCCCCTTACCTCGCCCTGGAGGAGACTTAAGCTCACCTGGTACTGAGTGGAACAGAACCACCTGTACCTCTGATTCTCTGGCAAAGGAATAAACCCTAGAGCGGGAGGTGGTGGCCCAGGGCTTTAATTCCAGCACTCGGGAGCCAGAGGCAGGCGGGTCTCTGTGAGTTCGAGGCCAGCCTGGTCTACAGAGTGAGTTCCAGGACAGTCAGGACTGTTTCACAAAGAAACTCTGTCTCGAAAAAAACAAGAACAAAACAAAACAGAAAGGTATCAAGGAAGAATCAAGGAGGTGAGCCTGCTGCCTTCCCATTCCCAAGGGTTACAGAAGCCTAAGGACAGGAGGCAAGGGAACCGGGCTGAGCGCTTACCAGGGGAAAGAGCCTTCAGCTTACGTCTCTCACTTGCCCCAAGACGCTAAGAAGCTGCATCTGCCCACTGAGCTTTTCTAAGTCATGCCAGTGCTTGGGCCTCAATATTGTGGGAAGGGATTTGGGACTGAAGGTGGGGAAAGAAAATTGAGGATGTGAAAGAAAGAAGCGTTGTGGGATTCTGAATCTCCCAGGGTCATCCATCAGAAACCCCCCCCCATAAAGAGAAACGAGTAACTGTCTAAAAGGAAAAACACCAATTCTTCTCAAAACTATTCCATAGACTTGAAAGAGAGGAGCTCTCCCCAGATTATTCTATGAGGTCAGTATTTCCCTCTTATCAAAGGACACACCAACTACAGACCAATATTTTTGATGAATATAGATGAAAATTGAACAAAGCTCTAAGGATTTGAATATAACAACATATCACAACGGTCATCCATAGCTATCAAACTGGTTTCCTTCCAGGGTTACAACTATGATTCAACACAGGCAAATTTATAGATGCAGTGCATCACGTCAACAGGATAGATGAGTTCTTTAAAATTATATGTGGACAGGAGACCTGGCTCTGAGATTAAGCATGGGTGATGCTCTTTCGGAGGACCTGAGTCTGATTCCTAGCTCTCACATCGGGCTCACAACTTTCTCCAGTTCCAGAGGATTCAATGCCTTCTCCTGTGGAGGGCCGGACCACATTCTCCATTGCTTCTAGGAACAAAGGTAGAGATTGACCTCTGTGACCCCAAGGTGTGGCGGCACACGCCTTTAGCCCTGATGCCTGGGAGGCAGAGACAAGCAGATCTCTGTGAGTTCAAGGTGATGTAGCACACGCCTTTAATCCCAGCGCACGTGCTTGGTAACTCTCTACCGCTGCGTCCCTGCCTACTCCCGAGGCATCATCTGGGATAATGGGCAGTGGACCCATCCAAGAGTGACACGTCAGAAGCGAGGACTGTTTCCTTTATAAGGGTTGGGTTCCATCTTATCTGGGTCTCCGCCATGTTGGCTGATGCCCGCTCTCCCAAGGGGCATTAAAGCTTTACTGCAGAAGAATCCTATGTGTACCGCGTGGTTCTTGCTGGCGAGACGGTAGCGCGGGACATCTGGTGCTGATACCCGGGAAAAAGAAGAACTTTGCACCACCGGAGACCCCTTGGACACAAGGAGGATTCAGAACTGCAGGAATGCGTGCTCAGAGAGGTACGTTCTAAAGTACAGAGAGCATATCAGAAACTGAGCAGCAGTGGGAGGTTGTGCGCGCACCCAGATAAGTTAAAAAATGACCCTCCGGTAAAGAATGGGGGAGACAGAAAAGAAAATAAGTTAAAAAGGACCCTCCGGTAAAGAATGGGGGAGACAGAAAAAAAGAAAAAATAAGTTAAAAAGGACCTCCCGGTGATTTTGGGAGAGTGGAGATGGGGGAGAAGGCTGATTTGCAGGGTCAAAAGCTTTATGTTGTGTTGTTCATGTTGTCTTTTGTGTACTGGATGGGAGAGGGATATTTGAACTTGGAGACTGCTGAGGATGTGGTGTTTTGGGAGGGAGGTTCTGTTTTCATCTCCACAGAAAATGAGAGCCTAAGGGTGTACTTGAGATTTGTGTGGTTTGAATCACCTAGACCTCCTGAAATGCTATAGTGTTTACCCCTAAGAATGCAACGGCCCAATAACAGCAGGAAGCAGCCAAAGAGACTAAACGACGCCCAAATTCCCTAAAAGATTAAATGAGGTCCTTTCAGTGATTACAGATCTGCAAGCCTGCTTCTCTGAGTTCAGCTTTGCTCCATGCACCGGTTTGGGCACGGAATGGGTGCAGCTGGGGCTGGAGGGCAGCTGGAGCGGAGCTTTGCTCTGTGGCTATGGTGGGAGGCATATTGCGCAGGCTCAGTTGGTGCCTGGCCTGGAGGGTATCACAGCTGTACCGAGAATGAGAGCGGTGCCACAGGCAGCCGGGCCAGAAGGCTTACAATGTACCTAAAACTGTGAGGGTCTCTGAGGGTAAAATGGCTCTGATTCCATTTGGCTACGCTAAACTATGCTGACTTCAGGCAGGGCTGGTCGTAATTATCATAATAAAAGCGCAATTAAGGTTTAAATGCAGTAAACAGGCAATACCGTATTACATCTACATAGTGCGACTTAAGTTTTTAAAAACTGCTTAGCATTTTAAGAACTCAAGTCCTCCTGAAAGATTGCTATGTATACGCTTGGCTTGTCTGGTGTTTCAGGTTCCGCAGGGAGATGAATGCGAAGGGCCCTTGGATTTGGGGGTGATTGGGTCGTTGGCTGGATCTGTGAGAGTTTACAGCCGCTTTTGCTGTGGCACAGATGTTGAGAGTTGGCTAGTAGGGAAGCGGCCCTGTTCGCCGCCTCTCCCATTGGCCCCTTGAGCCGCAGGCTCTGGCGCGGACCTTGAGTTATTGCCGGCCTGTGCAGCCTTGGTCTGGGTGTCGGCTCCCGCCACACTCCGCCACCAACACAGCCTCAGAGAACTAGGCTAGCCCCGCGGGGAAGGCAGGGGCGCCTGGGGGTGGAGCCGCCACTTCCTGGCCTGGGACAGGCGGAGCCGCACAGTGGGACACAGGGAGCTGGGCAGCGAGCAGGCCCAGGGCCGCACACAGCCCTTGGATGACGGGCGGGCTCTGGAGCCCGAGGCCACCATACCAGCAAGAAATAAATCTTAAATCTAATATCAACAAACAGGGCCTGGGTTTTTCCTAGGCGCCACTGGGGCAACACGGCCCATGCCGTAAAAAACAGAGATCCCCATATGGGTTCCCCAATGGCCACGTCATCTTAGGACTCCAGGCTGAAAACAGGAAAACGGTTTTCTCATATTTTTAAAACAATAATCTCATCTGTGCCAGATTTAAAATGGTTTAATTCTAAGGCCTACTATAATGACACAGACAAACAAGATTGCTCTTTAGAACAGAGACCTATAGGTCTCTAAGTTCAAGACCAGCCTATTTCCAGTACTGACTGTGCTAAATTTTTACACTGAGTTTTTTAATACTCTTAAATGTTATTTTGGGAGAAGAGTTTGTTTGTTTTTTTCTAGAAATGCTACTATTCATGCTGTGGATTCATCTGTCCAGAGGCCTGAGGACAAAGCCTCTGCTATGGAGCTGTCTGGCCTGATTGCTGCGGAGCTGGCGGGTTCCTGAGGGATGGTCCAGCTCCTGCCCTTGGTCTGTCAGTTATTGCTATGTTGTTGTTGTACATTGCAATGTTGTTGTTGCTATGCCATTGCTATGCTGCTAGATTTCCCCTTGTTTTGTCAGTTATTGCTTGCTATCAGTTTCCCTTATCCTGTCAGTTATTTCTGCTAAACACTATGGGTATCTTCAAGATAGGTTACAAAATGCCATGGTTATTTAAATTAAAAATTGGATAAATATCTATTTAAACAAAAAGGGGGGAATAATAAAGGAACTGCCCCCGATGCCAAGAATGGCCATCGCCATGGCTCTGTTCATTATAAATTTTTAAAATTTGGATGATAATGGCCAAAATGCTGCAACACGACATTGTTCGGATCCGCAGCGGCCCAAAGATTTGGTTAAGTGGAAAGATGTGCTTTCTAATGAATGGAAAGGCCCGGATCCCATCTTATTGAGATCCAGGGGAGCTGTTTGTGTCTTCCCACAGGATCAAGAAAGCCCATTCTGGCTGCCAGAGCGATTGACCCAAACAGTGAAGAGTGATCCACAACACACAGATTCGCCTGAGGACCTGGCTGCTGTTCCTCCTGCCATTTTGCGGATGGATGACAGAGCACCGATGGAGGACACTCTCAGCCTTCCTGAAGCTGTTACCAGTCAACCATAGGATGGCGGTGTCTCCCCGATTTTTTACAACCAATAAGACTCTGGGCCCCCTCATACCATCCTAGAGATGATTTATAAGCCTGGCCGTAGGACTCCAGTCCTGGGCCGTATCTCTCATTCCCCTACTTCAAAGAATGGGTGGGGGTGGAAATGTTTTGGAACAGTCCTATGCTATGGATTAGTGTTTCTCCTCTGGATGGTCTGCTGACTCAAATCCCAAAGTCTTAGGGACAAAGTGGTTATTGCACAAGCGCTGGCTGCCCTGGAACAGGGGGCCTCTACTGATGTGTGGTTATTTATGTTAAAGCAGTAAGGTTTAAGCCAACCAGCTCCTGCACCCCTAGGACTGTGGTCCATTGCACAGGGTGGAGTGCTTGGCTTAGCTAGCCCTGAAGGTTGTCGAGCTGAAGAGCATCGCACAGAGAATGGCCCTCTCTGAGAGATAAGTCGCTTTGCTTAAGGGTTTCCTGCCGTATATTCCCTTTCCCAGAAAATTGGCAGAGGGCAGGCTGGATAGGT